TGTCTTAGAAAACCTCCCTCAACTATTTCACTTTGAGAAACTCCCTCAAGTTTTAGCTTATTGTAGATAAACCCCGTCAAATTAAAAAAATTCGAGAATTCCCCATGAATTCTTCTCACTTTACTGTCACATGACAAACAGGTGAGTGAGAAAAGGACAAAACAGCCCTTAATAATAAAAAAATTACTCTAAATTTTTAGGGGAAAGAGAGGAGAAAGAGAGCAAAAAGAACTGTAATTTGAATCCTTGTTTACCGTTTGAGGGTTCTTTGTAATTGAATGGGTTGTTTTTCAAAAGGGAATTTCAGTTATTTTACATTTTGAAATAACGTCATAGGGGTTCAGTGAGAAAAATGTGAAAAATTAGGGGTTTTTTGTGAGACGCCCCATAGTTGAGGGGGTTTTCTCTGATTTTCAAGACTGAGTGGGGTTATCTATAATATGTTCAATCTTTAGGGTGGTTTTCTTAAATTAAAATAGTTGAGAGGGGTTTTCTAAGGCATCCACCATTGTTGAGGGGGTTCTTCTAAAATTAACCCTAATAATCATATATGTAAAATTATACTTGTTTCAAATTAAAGTTAAAGTTGATGAATTAGTCTTCCTCTTAGAATATTATTGACAAAATTTTCAATTTTTTGTTATTTATTAATTTGATATCATGTCTTGACTGATTTTGATAACGAGGGGTTTTCACTTCACCCGTGTTTCTTTAAAATATTAATAAAACACAAGACACTATAAAAAACATATAACATATAAAGATTTATACACTTAAAATCTTTCCTATTATAAACATATTCCATGCGATCAGCGATCCAAAAAAATAAACAAATTATTTACACAGATACTCAGAATACTATCTCAAATTCTTCTTGCTTTATCAGATATTTTTAAAGAAATCAGACTTTTACCCTTCCAAGCTAATGATGCGGGTTCAGTTTCCGCTAGCCGCTCCATATTACTTATTCAACATGTAAGACTCACCCTTGTGAGCACGGGGAAAATACTTGTTTTATTTATGAAACATCAACTAAATACTTGTTTTATTGTAAGACTAACCTTTGTGCATGCGTGTTTCGTTTTGGACCTGAGAAGAGGCATTATATTTCAGATCGGGTGGGAGGCACCACCATCTATATTAGCAAATGATACTTGTACTACCTACAGCCAATAGTGTATGCAAGTGGATCCCAATTCATGGATAACAAGCTCAAAAAGTCTACTTAGTCTTCCATTAACTCCCGGTGGATAAGGCATGCGACGATGTTCTAACTGAGAGGACTCACATTTTATTTATGAAACATGACATCAAAATGTACACTGTAAAATTTCAGAAATTGTTAAATAATCATAAAGTTTCCGAAGTACAGAAATCACAAAAGAAAACTTACTTGGATGTCCTCATTGAATTTCAGTGTCTTAGCTTCTTCCCCAGAAAGAGCAGCAGCTTTGTGGGATTTCTAATATTAAAAGATTTTATGAATCAAATAAATGCAAATAACATTTAAGAACTTTCCATGCATTTAAATGTTTACTTTTAACTGACCTTGAGATTGTCAAGATGATCAATTATCAAGAAGATAGATCCTTCTTTCAATCTATAGTAAAAGTCCAAACAAGTATTCTGAGTTGACTTAGAGGAGAAACTCTTGTCTGTGTTACAAACAGAGTTCAGACGGGCAACTGCTGGCTCCGAAGCCTTATGAAATTCCCATTCAGTGTCATCATCAGAAAAACTATCATTATTGGAAAATGCAGAATGCCTGCGGAGCACAGCTGCGTCTGGTTCAGTGGTACTTGGATGTTGTCTAGAGTAGACGTCATGAGTCTGCCGAGGCTCATTGTAAAGGTTAGACATGATATCATCAAGAGAATTGACCGAATGAAACTTCCAGCCCTTGATTTCTGCTTGTGCAAAGTTAGGCTTTCTTGAAGAACTACTCAGTCTCGTGGAGATTCCACTTGATTCATCTTTTTCTTGAGCATAAGTAGATGGAATAAGGTCGCCTAGATTAGATGAAAAGAAACCCCCAGCGCCCTGCAGAAATTCATCAGACTCATTTTGAATAACGTATCCACGCAAAACAAATTACTCTATTTTCAATAACCCAACTGCATAGCTACACAGGGAAGAGTGCAGCAGAGAGGATAAATGAGCAATAACAAGAGATTTATTTTAACATTACAGACAAGGCATAAAAGAGGCTGATGTGGTGTTTGATACATCTTGTACTGAGTAACCGTAATTTCCATGGATAGCAGTCTAGCAGGTAATGTAGGTGATTTAGCATTACCTATTTGGCTGCTAATAAGTAAGAAGCACAGGCACAGACACAATAAGGCACATGTTGACACAATAACAACAACAACAATTCTAAAAGTGAAATGGCAATGATACAGAAAACAATAGGAACTTTTGTGCCACACAGGTTCCTCGAGAAGATATGAGCATATATGTTCTCGTCTATACAGCTAAATGATAAATGGGACTAGCTTTTGGACAGATCAAGACTAATATCATGCACTTGTCGTTTCCACTACGAGTAGGAACTGTTTGAAGGAGATTATTTTTGCAAACTTATTTAGCCAGGTGAAGGAAATTGCCATTCTCTCTATTAATAAGCAACCTCTTGCAACAATTCAAGAAACTCTCTTTTAGCCAGCAAGCTCCAAGTAGAAGAGATTTAATGGTGACAAACATGAACAGCGAAAAAGAAAGAAAGGACATAGAAGACAGATACGGGTATTATGGAATGAATGCCCTTTAAAGTTCTGATAGCTTAAATCTAGGACATACGAAACATCAGCTTCGGCAATCCAGTGCAGACATGGCAAAATGCAAAACTTGTTCCTCTTTCTTGAAGGTCTAATACAACCTCAGCAAATAAAAAGATTTATGGAGTCTGCCACAGAACTAGATTAGAGTATACAGGTGATCTGTTCACTATGTTGTTTTCTCTTGATAATTCCAGGTGATGCCTAATTGATACGTGTATCTTCTTCTCTGCTTCGGGAGCTTAGTGATCCTCATGGGAGCTTGAGGATAGGTGATTCTCATGATATTTTGAGAATAGTAGTGTGAAGCGATACGGCGGAACATAGGATGGAGCATGAAGCGAGTCGGAAGAACGAAGAATCAAAGCATGATACGGGTGTATCTTCTCTTCGGAACTTAGCAATCCTCATGGGAGCTTAAAGATAGATGATTCTCATGATAGTATGAGAATAGAGGTGTCAATCAGTACAGTGAAACGCAGAAGGAAGCGTGGAACGAGACGACGAGCAGCAGATTCGAAGAATCCAGATTTCAACCTGTGAGTCGACTCATACATGTACATGAGTCGACTTATCAGATTGAGTCGACTCATGCCTGTCATGAGTCGACTCAAAAACTCAAGCCCTGTTAGCAAAAGTCTCTGACCAGTCGACTCATCAGTTATGAGTCGACTCATATGAGGTCATGAGTCGACTCATCTCAGTCATGAGTCGACTCATGAAGGTTTCCTGGTTCGTTTGGGTTTCTATTCACACGAATTCATGTTGGTTTTGGGCTTGGTTATTTACCAGATTGTCATCCACGTTTGTACACCTATATAAAGGGTTGTTTAGGGTTTCTAAACATCAATTTTATCTTCTTAAATCAGAGAGAAAGGAAGGAGAGGTCAAGATGTAGATCTAAAGGGTTTTAGGTCTAAGTAAGATCCTAATCAAAAGGATTAGGGTTTAGATTGTAATAAGTTTTATGATCTTAGATCAGAGAGAGATTCTAATCTTTGTATTAGGGTTTAGAGAGGATTGAGAGGTTGTTCTCGATTCTAGTGAGATTGTGAGAGAGAGATTGTAATCTTTTGTTCTTCATAATCTAGAAGAAGGTATTTTCCTTCGCTATACTGAATTGTCTTGTGTTTTAGTTGTCTTCTTTTCAACCCACATTTTGGTAATTCCGCGACCAAAGGGTGCTCACACGGCAACTCGCATCACTAATTGTGAGATTTTTTCCTTAAGTCTTGATCATAAAGAGAGGGTGGGAAAGAGGAGGGTGAGTGGGGTGAAGGTTAACAGACATTTTTCACGTATAATAATGAAAATAACACAAATAGGATAACCTATTTTTACAGCTCTCTTAAATGCTGCTTACGCTTTTGTCAGGGCAAATACAATGTATAGCCTGCTTAAATAGCTGATTACATCAATACGCCCCTCGCTTTATTTCAGAATTGTATCAAGAAAACAAGAGAAATCCTATCTAACTAAAGTATTCACAGATTAATCAAAAGGGAAGTACTTTGCCACTTAAGGCCTGCGTATAAAAAGGGCAAAAAGAAGTCCAGAAAGAGACCTGCACTCATAAAGGAACAACTACCCCTGTCACTACAATATCCCTTTCCCATGTGACTAAAATCTTAAGGGTGCCTCAATAGGTAAGAGGAAATTCGCACATATAGAAAAAATAAAAACAACAGAAAATATTATGTTCTTCATCGTTGAGGGTGAAGACTATGTTGGTTAGTATCGCGTCGAGGAGGTCGTGCATGTGCATGGTTATGGTGGGTCGACTGTCGATGGCAACTTCGACTTTGTTAGTGGTGATGGCCATGGGGGAGTTTGGGAAGAGAGAAAGGGGAAGAGAGGAGGGGGATGGTGATAGAGGGGCATGACAGGGGGCATAAATGAGGGTAGACTATAAAAAAGGGTAGGTTTGAATCACTGCTAATGTTGTACCATATTGGGGGCCAAATCACATTTATGACTCGCATTTGGGGTGGGGGCGCCTGTTGAAAAAATCAAGGGGGCAGCACATTCCGTGATTAAAAAAGAGGTCTCGAAGCATTTTCCCCAAATATTTAACAAACGAGTTATAGTAAAGACATAGTCCCAAAATAAAGAATGAAACTACTTGACCACGCCTAACGCACGTGCACCCCAACTAGTTCTTATTAAATTTGGCAATTGCTCACCTGGAATAATTTTTTTGGAGTGTTGCACAGGGTGAGATGTGCAAGGATATACATCGGTTTTCCATCCAATTTGTCCAATATCAGAACATTAACAAATATTTGGTGGACAAATGAAAATGGGCTTAAGTAAGATCCACATAGAAACCAAGATAACATAGATTGACCATGCTAAGATCCAGACCAAGGGTTGAAGGCATTTGAGGGTAAAAACAAAATACAAATCAAAAGGTCAATCTAATAGCCTGGAAAGAATAACACTGAAGGGCAACTGAATACTCCAATGGGGAACATACGCTCCTGGAGTGAAAAAGCTAAACTTGAATTGAGCTGAACTGCTGAACAAAAACCCTATGCAAAAGGGTCAGGTTAAGTTGCCGTCCAGAGATGAACCATATTTCAAGATTTCAAGGCACATCATGGCCAAACTAGGTCAGACTAAAACGCTTCCCTCAATTTATTTCTGACACTTAGCTAATGTATCAATAACTAGCATTTCTGCACGTGCGAATGCATGTGCAAAAGGCATAATTTTTTTAAACAAAATATATTATGTAAAAATTATAGTAGCTCTGGTTGTAATGTGAGATCTTAATCTGAAGAAACTATTCTATCATGTGGGAGAATATATTAGTCTTTAATCTCTATTAGTAGTGTTCGTATAAGTTTTATTTCTTTTGTTACAGGATCATGTTCATACTTCATAATGTACATAACAAAAAGATTTTTTTATTTAATATAATTTGTATAGTAAGGAAAACAGAATATAAATATACGCTTTAAGGTGAAGCAAAAGTTCATGAATACTTGTAGTATTTTCAACTAATCCTTAACTTCAGCTAGATGCAATCTCTGAAAAACTTTACTGCAATTTAAATCTATCAAGTGTTTGAATAAGTTAATTTTATTTATTTAAATTTTAAGCCTTTTAATACATTTGAAGGTAACTAATTAAACTAATTATTGCGTATAAACAAAATGTTTGTAATAGTAAATTTTTCAAAAATTTATTACCATTCTTTCTAAAGAATCATAGATCTCAAAGTTATCATTCATCTTTGATTTTAATAAGAAAAACATGGTTATACTAAAAACAAATCTATTCCATAATTTTTTGCACAATTTCATAGTTATGGTTTTTATATATATACTAGGAAGAAGCACGTGCATTACACATGACTGCTTCATGGAGTTGTTGTACTTTGAAATTCTGATTAGATCTCTCAATTCTTATAAGTTGTTTCAAATAGGTCACTATAGTTGCAACTGTACACTTTAACTAATTTCAAATTACTAAAAATATCAGAGGGCATAATAGCAATTTCAATGATTTGAGTGACCAATTTCAAATAGCTTAATAAAAGGGGGCCCAATAGCATTTAAATGATTTGAAGGACTAATTCCAAAATATAAAGATTTAAGGAACTAAGTTAGAAAAAACCCTTAAAGAGTATTTCTTATTGATAAGAAATAATATTTTGTTGGATAAAGATAGAAACCAATTTGATAGTAAATCTCCATCAGAATGTCACGTTAAATGTATCCATATAAAGTTATAACCTTCAAAACAAAATTTTTCCTTTTTATTACCCCAAAGTTATTTACATTTTCACTTTGAAGCCTATTTCTTTTGATAAGAAGTAATATTTTATTGGATAAAAGGAGAAACTAATTTAATAGTAAATCTCTATAAGAATGACACGCTAAATTTATTGATAAAAAGGCACAAACTTTAAATAAAAATGTATACATTCAACAACTAAGTTTGTTTGAACCTTGTATAAACTTTCAATACATAATTTAGAAGATTTCTAAGTAGTTTACATATTAAAATCAAACATTCACACAAGATTTAGTCTTATTTGGATATTAGTCCCTCAAATATTCAATAATTCTATATTAGTCACTCAAATCTTTGAAACTGCTCATAATAAGCCTTAAAAAGTGTAAGTTTTAGAATATCAAAGTGCTAGGAAAAAAAATTCTTAGGTATCAAAGTTAAAAAGTGTAAGTTTTAGAGTAGCAAGGTGTCAAACAAAACATTCGGGGTATCAAAGTTAGAAAGTTCTAACTTTAAGTACCA